TTAACATAATGACAAAATGAAAAATTTGAAAAAAATAAGGTAGGGGAAAAGAAGAGACTTGGGGAAAGAGAATTTTAAATGGGTTAATTGGGTTTGATGGGTTACCCAATAATACCCATTTAATAAATGGGTATTATTGGATAACTCATTTATACCCATATACAAAAATTTAAGATACCCATACCCATCTATTCATGGGCGGGTATGGATAAATCTAGTTAATTGGGTTGATTTGCCACCTCTACTTGCAAGTGATAATTTTTGAAGGGTAAATTTGTTAAATCAAATTTCACATAATTTGATTTTTTCATCCCTCACATTTTTCAAAATGAATTTTTTCGTCTCTCACATTTCAAAAAATGAAAAAAATGAATTTTTTCATCTCTTATTGATCATGTGTACGAATGGTTTCTTTTTTCCTTTTAAACCCATAAATATATCTATTTAATTTTACTTGAACAATAAGAATATATCTGTATTTGATTTCATCTACAACTACAATTAGCTTATTCAGGTGAAATTAAATAAAGATATATTATATGCTATTTGTATTGTTCAGGTGAAATCAAATAGGCATATATATGAGTTTTCAAAAATAAGAAAAGACCATCACACACATGATCAATGAGGGATGAAAATTTTTATTCTGCAAAATGTGAGGGATGAAAAAATTTATTTTGTGAAATGTGAGAGACTATGGATCAGATTATATGAAATGTAAGGGACTATGAATCAGATTATTTGAAATGTGTTTGACAATTTTGCCCTTAAAAAATAATCATGTGCAAGACATGTGGCAGATTCCAGCCAAAATTAATCGAAAATCTAGATAGGAACCAAAATTGATCAATGTGAATTTGTAAGGAACGTAAAATTATATTTTTAAAAATAAAGGACGAAAAAAAGTATTTTACAAGGACATTTTGAACTGTTTTTCCAAAAAAATGCAAGAAAAAATTGGGAAAGAAGTTTTTTTTTTTCTTTTTTGGTCGAATTGACCTGGTGGAAGACAAGTTATAGGATATCACTTATCACTTTGCTTGCCACTAAAATGATGGAAGATGGAGAAACAGATTTAGCGGCAAATTTGTAGGCATCAAAGGTTAGTGGAACGCTACATTATGATGCATAGCATCCTGCTTCCCGTCCTTTAGGTTCCAACCAATCGTGGTCTAGATGAAAATAAAAAAAAAAAGTTATTTACACTCCTATTTTTATTATTCATTCTTTCACTATCATTTTAATTATACAGTTTTTATTTATTAAATTATATGATAAAACAAATGATAGGACTGTAAATAACAAAAAAAAAATAAAATGTAAATAACATTTTTCAAAATTAATTGATGAATACAATGTCTGAAATGATGTACAACTCAAGGAAATGGGAACCCATTTGTCACTACACATCTAAAGAAGGAAAAATCAATTTGTCACCACTTAATCATATTCTCCCATTGATTTTCTCTACCTACTCTTTGTGGCTCCCTACGTATGATTGTACATATCCTAACTTATATGTTTTACTATATGTCAATTTTCATTACAGTATTTGTTAGTAATTCATTATAATATTATTCAATTAACTGTTTTGTTATAATCTGTACGTATTGATTGTACCAATGTGGATTATCAAAATGAAAAAAAAAAAGAAGAAGTATGCATATTACCATGGTTCTGCTTTCTTTGCTCAATTTTCTGTTAAAACTGCTTATAGAATATATATTCTTCCTTTTGCAAGACTAGTAGCCAAGGTTTTTCGGAATTAGAAACGTAAAATGGGAAATTAGTTTTTTGGGCTATCCCTTGTTTAGCTCATTATCTTCTACTATTAATTGTAAAACTTGATTATAATAGTTCTTTGAATAACCATGATGATAATTAGAGCAATTCTTGTTTCTAAACCTGCAACGAACAAGACCTTTGCTGCCTATTGGAAGTAGGTAGCAATGATTTCCAGCTTCCAATGGTTGAATTTCAGCAGTTCACAGTATGAACCCAGAGACAAGAAAATGTTGACTAGGCTTAATTCAAGAAGAAAAATCTGATAAATTGAAGAAAATGAGGTAGACCGTCAATAAAAGATGTCGGTGTGATGTTATATATTTCTCCTCCTTTCTTCGTACGATATTACCCGTTGAATAAAACATAGCTGAAAGGAAAAAAAAAAAAAAGTCAGCTATTTTCCTTGATTTTGCTATTCAACTGATCGTTTGAAGATTCATCCAGCATTTCGTTTTGGAATATTGAATACCCCATTACCATTGAAAAAAAAAAAAATTACTCCATTACTTCCAGAATTCGTGGGCTGAGCACAGTTATTTCTCATGGAAAAAGAAGCCTTGTGGAAAATATTTCCCAGTTGTTAGAAGTCAGAATGATTGATTTGGCTCGATTCAATGGACAGTGAATTTCTTACAGTTCCACTTCAATTGTTCAATACTTTGTTTCAGTCATGAAGAAAAAAAAAAGTCTTCAATTGGAATGTACAAGTCTATTTAGTCACCTGCTTTTCTATTTAAGCTGATATAGGATAGGTGGATATCATTTGCAAATAAAATGTCTAGTTGCGTGTTTTACCGGTGTTTATCTTTGGTTTTGCAAAACTATTTTGCTTTTACAACGTATATAACACTAGTCATTTTCGTGTTTAGGATTATCCGACTTTTTGAATTGGGGTTTGACAAGTCCAAAGTCGACTTACGAAAAAAAAGAAAAGGAAATTTCAAGTTTTTGGATTTCAAATTTCAAGCTCATATTATGAGATTCATATTCGACTCAGAGAGACATTATTGATGTTTTGAACCTATTTCGATTGTATCAATTATCTCAGAATATATATTAATTTTTTATGTTACAATGTGTATAATATAAATTTATACAATGTTGTATGTATTATGTATTTTTGTACAGATAATTATTCCAGTCAAACTTTAATCTAACTCAACCCGTTAAAACATGACTAGTTTTTTTTTTTTATTTTGAGCCAAACAGGTCGAGTTGAGGCTAACTCAACCCGTTCACGGTGTTCGGGTGTCAAACGTGTCGTGCCCGTGGACTACAAATCATGAAGCCAATACTAAAGTAAATAGATTATGCTTTCACTAATTGCGTTGGACCTGTCACCTGTGACCTTAAAGAATATACAATTGCATCGTCAAAACAAAGAGTATAATATATGCTCTCTCTGGCCAGCATGTTAATGTCCCGCTGTACAAAGAAGGAATTCTCTTGAATAGACTAACCTTTGTGGTTCAGAAAAATAGAAGGGGGACTAACCTTTGCGAATTTTTGACTATTCCTCCCAAACAAACAAGTACCTTATTTAACGCCTATTCCACACGTTGCACAATGGTCATCGCTTGCATCATCATTATCATTCGTTTGGTTTCCTGCACTTTCCATAAACAACTGTGAGAAGAAAAGTTGTTCTTCCAACTGCTCTTGTGCACGTTTCGTTTGGTTTATTACGGGCAAAAAGAGCTTGAACCAAGACCACACATGTACAAGTTAATAATTGGTTTTCTGCTCCTTGTACGACAAAATATTTACCTAGTTTGGAAAATGTGGGAAAAATGAAAACTTTAACAGACGTCAGTGGGGATTAACGAGAGTTGATAAAGGGGTATTGCAAGAAGTCTAGAACTCGTATGTATGTCTTGGCCCAACGAGGTTTAAGCTGGTCAAACATTTTGTGGTTGCTGAATGCGTTTGTGTGGATGGCAGACGTCCACGGGTATGGATTTCATTTGGGAAAATTGGGATTGAACATCACCCGGGAAACCTAATTTTGAAGTGAATTCTCAATCATTTTATTTTGGAAAAAAGATTTTTTTTTTCTCTTAATAAGCCCTAAGCCCTTTGCCCTTTGGTTTGATCTTCCCTCAGAGTAACAAATGGCCCTTGGTCTCTAAATTACAACTAGTAGTAAAATTTAAATATGAGAAAGAGAAATACATAGTAGGAGTGAAACGCGAATCAAACTATTCGATGTTTTGAAATAAGTTTGTTTTGAGTAGAAACTTAGTTTATCAATTAATTAAACTAAATATGAACACCATTTGATGTTTCAACTTAAATTTTGATCGATTGGTAATAAAACTTGAAATTTATATATAAAAAATTTGAACTGCTCAAGCTCAATTTAACAAGAACTCATTTGAGTTCAACTCTGTAATAAAGAAAAAAAATCAAATTTAAACATAATTTTAAATTCGTTAAACTAAACAAATAAAGTTAAATATTAGAGTGTCGATTTAATTAGTTTTTTACTTCTCTGGGCAAGGGGAGTATACACAAATAGTAATAATGAGAATTAAAAATTACTAGAAAACTTGATCAATGACCATGGTATGCAGTTCTCAAACTTCATGGTCCAATTGTCTCAGAGGGCCCACAGAAAATCACATCTCAGAATACCAATAATAGTTGGTAAGTGCATCGTATTCAAGTATGCATCTGTAGCATAATCCTCTTCAATTTCTAAATCTTGAATCTCAAAGCACATTTTTCTGCTCAAAAGTGAAACCTATTCCCTTCAGCTTCAGCAGACGTGTAGAATGAGCTCTAGAATGCGCCATTCAATCAACAGAATCAATAAAGTACTGGACATATACTTGCAAAATGGACCACTGACTTTGTTACCGTCTTCCACTTGCTCTACAGGCTACAGGTTCTTCGCAAGTTGAAGGGGCTTTTCATAACTAAATGAGTCGTAAATGCGAAAAAACAGTAGCCTCATGGCCAAGATCAACCGGGTAGTAATTGCTCTTTTCTTCTTAAAACTCAAAAGGGCATTTCGAAAGCAAGAGATGTCTGTCAGACTATAAACTGACTTTTCCCTTTCAAGTGTATCATCATTAATCAATGCTGTGGACGTTCAATATATCGGACACAAGAAGAGCAGTCAATTCATCAAATTTTCTTATGACATATAAAAAATAGAAATCCGTTTTTTTTTTCCCCAGTTTTCAACTGCTATATATTGTAAATCCATTAGTCTAAGATATAAGGCAGACATGGACAGCCAGCCACTTGTGTCACAGTCCATTTACTAAGTCAATCCATCTTCTTTTCATATACTCGCATTCAAATTCTCTACCTTCCTTCTGAGTTTATTTCTTTCCGACCACAATAATGTAATAAACCAGTTATCTTCTGATCTCTCTGACTCAATATCTTCCATTAGTTCATGATTCCAGGTGCACCAAAGCTCTAGTGGCATGTATAGTTCCGTAGAATTCTTTAACTTATGCATATTCTTTTTCATCCTTCTGGTAGAAAAGTCCTCTGCTGCTCATTACCAGTATGAAGCATGTGTTCCAAAAGCTTGTGGAAATCTCAGCATAAAGTTTCCATTCCACATTCGAGGTCTGCAAGAATCCTATTGTGGCCACCCTGGATTTGAACTCACTTGCAGCAACTCTCCAGCGATTCATTTAACCGAAGATGTCTATGTGATTGATAACATTCAGTATGAGAATCGAACTTTTCGGGTACACAACGAGGCAGTTTCAAATGTCGGAGGTTGTCTACCACAGATTAGAAATATATCAGAAGACTCTCAGCTCGGTATAGTTGATACTTCAAGACTTCATTTGCTATCAAACTGCAATAGCAAACTGCCTGAGGTACTTTCCAGCTACAAAGTTGATTATTGTGATCCTTTTAATAGAGAGGATTTGGGTCTGGTAATGTTAGGAGAGGATAAAAACTTGAACATTGCACTCCAAGAATGTAACACAAATGTCTTGGCACCTGTGGAAGTTGATAAAAATGGAGGAAACGGGATTGTAGACTATGAAGGGCTGTTGAGAAAGGGATTTCTGTTGAACTGGAAAGTAGCTGACTGCAGCGAATGTGAGCGAAGTGGTGGTCGTTGTGGCTTCAATGAAACCGATGATCGCATGCGGTGTTTTTGCCCTGATAGTCCTCATTTGGGGAATTGTAAACCTCGTAAGTACTTTGACCCCTTTATGAGTATTTTCTCCAAAAGGGTTCATTATCATATATTGCTGCAAAATTCAAGTGAATTCACTGAACTTCACATCAGGCTTGCCCTCTAGAAAAGTTGCTCTTGTGTCCATTGTTTGAGCAGCCATTTGATCTGCTGTCCTATTGATTAAACTGATTAATAGGAATACTAATCTGCGTCATGGTCTTCTGATATATTAGTTTAAGTTATTAGTGTAATCCGTTTAGTGGGCTTTACGCGACAATCAATGGTATTAATTTGTAGCAGATCTGGTTTGATGCTTTAGCCATACGCAACTCTGTGATCACGCTTCACGACCACAAACCTTGAACATCTTTTGCGTGATCGAAGTTGCGAATTTTTCGGCTATGATATTAAGCCTCTTCCAAAGTATCCTTCCATTTCATTTTCGATTCTGCGAAATATCACGCTCTACAGACGCACTAAAAACCCCGAAACAAGCCAGAGTCCAGCTGATTATTTCTTCAGATACCAAACACATGACGAATGTGACGGCCCTGATAATGGCTTCACCATTTACTATCAAACTCCACAACATCAGGCTCCAATACTGAACTTCAGTGGAGACATTCAATCACTCTGTAAAAATGTCACTCTTCCAATGGTTTCCAGCGACAATCACTCAGAGAACGCCGACTTGTTTCAGTTATTGACTGCTGAGTTCGATCTTGAGTGGCATCTCTCTGAAAATTGCTCTAATTGTCAACTTGAAGGACATTGAGTGTCTGACTGACTGGAGTCAGCCCCGGAGATCTGCGTTGTGCCTATTCTAAAAAATGCATTTTAATGCTCTTTTATTATTTGTTCTGCCTGCATTTGTTTCTTAATTGGCAGTATCAAAATCTTCTTTCGTGGTTGTTCGTCATTCTGGATGCAGTACATAATCCTTCCTATCTTGGAACTCAATTCACGATGATCAAAAACGTGAACCACAGAACTCTAACCTTATGTGGACCTCAGAAAATTGTTTCTTGGTATGCATTAACAATTTGTATAGATGGTTTTAACAACTCTGTGTTTCAGGTCATCTTGATTGATCATCGTGAATTGAGTTCCCAGATCAGCTAATTGTATGTGTGAAGTGCACTTTCTTTGTTGAAGAGTCAAACGAGTCAAGTTTTTCTGTGGTTTAAGTCATCGTGGAAATTGGGATGGAAAATTCCTGCCTTTGATATGGACCAGCCAGCAGTTTTCCACAAGTCTTCGTTAAAATTTCCAAGTCAACTGGCGTGACAAAGATGGAGCTGGTTTTTCCCTTCTCGTCGTTACTTAAAGAGTACCTGAAGCTTAGCGTATTAAAACTAAAGTAGTCCTCACGATTTGATTTCCCTTAGGTTCTCTGTTTCGCTTTGGTAGGTTGCTAGGTAATAGATAGGAAGTTTGAGTATGGGTTTTGGATTGTTTTTTGGTTTCTTTTTTATTTCTCATGTCCTTCCTCTCTCGGTCTCGGCTGAAGAAGATAGCAAGTTCACTAATACTACTTGCCCAGAGAGTTATAATTGTGGAAACCTTACTAATAGCAAGTTCACTAATAGCAAGTTCATCATTTTGTGTCTGTTAATGGTACATAATTAGGCAGCAACTTTCATTTTTCTCACCTTGGCAGTCATGATTCTGCTAATTTTATTGATCAAGAATGTTTCTTTCTGTTTCACTTCTTCCTTCTTTTTCACAGCCATTTAATTTTGTTGGGGCAGGTTGTGTTCCACGTTCCACAATCTAGCTAGTGGTATAGAGATTGTGGAGATTAGGTGCGTGATTGGCTGTTAAAAATCAATTCTTGTGACAGATTTGCATGAAATTGACAAGGAATTCTTTTCTTGTTTCCTTTGTGTCTATTTCTTCTTTTGCTTTTGATTTTGGCCCCGGTGGTGCCACAAGGACGGGGTGCCATAAGCTACGCTACATCAGTCAAGTCCTTGAGAACTTTTGGGAGAAGGGGCAGTTTCAAATAATCTCCATGTCTTCTCCAGTACGGGAAAACAAAAAAAAAAATGTAAACAAGAAGCTTCCTGGTTTTGATGTCACCTTCAACTTTTTCTGAATGTGTCTTGACTGATTCTTATTACGGAACAATGATATAAAATTAGGTAGAGATGAGATCACACATCCAATTAGCTGATCTGGGAACTCAATTCTCGATGATCAATCAAGATGACCTGAAACAGAGTTGTTAAAACCATCTATACACATTGTTGTTAATGCATACCAAGAAACAATTTTCTGAGGCCCACATAAGGTTAGAGTTCTGTGGTTCAAAAACGTGAAGTGCACTTTCTTTGTTGAAGAGTCAAGCAAGTCAAGTCTTTCTGTGGTTTAAGTCATCGTGGAAAATGGGATGGAAAATTCCTGCCTTTCATATGGACCAACCAGCAATTTTCCATAAGTCTTCGTTAAAATTTCCACAAGTCAACTGGCGTGACAAGGATGGAGCTGGTTTTTCCTTTCTCGTCGTTACTTAGAGTACCTGAAGCTTAGCGTATTAAAATTAAAGTATTCCTCGTGATTTGATTTCCCATAGGTTCTCTGTTTCGCTTTGGTATGTTGCCAGATAATAGATAGCAAGTTTTGAGTATGGGTTTTGGATTGTTTCTGGGTTTCTTTTTGATTTCTCATGTCCTGCCTCTCTCCGTCTCGGCTGAAGAAGATACTACTTGCCCAGAGAGTTTTAATTGTGGAAACCTTAGTGGGGTAGGCTTCCCTTTCTTCCATTCGTCACATTATCCTCATTGTGGCTTTCTCAAGCTCAACTGTGAGGCAAAGCCATCTCCAACAATTGTATTTGACTTTGCAGCAGATCAATGGGTTGAAGCTTTAGCCATAGGCAACTCTGCGATCACGCTCCACGACCACAACCTTGAACATCTTTTGCGTGATCGAAGTTGCGAATTTTTCGACCATGGTGTTATGCCTCTTCCAAACTTTTCTTCCATTTCATATTCGATTGTGCCAAATATCACGCTCTACGGATGCACTAAAAACCCCGAAACAAGCCATAACCCAGCTGATTATTTCACCGGATACAAACACTATGACGAATGTGTTGAGCCTGATAATGGCTTCACCATTTACTATCAAACTCCACAACATCATGCTCCAACATTATACCCTAATAAAACCATTCCGTCATTCTGTACCAATGTCACTCTTCCAATGGTTTCCAGCGACAACTACTCGGAGATCACCGACTTTTTTCATTTATTCACGGCTGAGTTCGATCTTGAGTGGCATCTGTCTGAAGATTGCTATACTTGTGGCGATGAAGGACGCGAGTGTCTGGTTGACTGGAGGCTGCCCTGGGATCCGCGTTGTGGCTATTCTGGAAAAGGTTAGCAATGGTTAGACATCAGAAGCTGTCGTATCAACTAATATCCTAGATACTTGAATATGCAATATACTTAAGCCTGGATACATTTACCTGTGCTCTGTTCTGTTCTGTTTACAATTTAGTACTTCTAAGGTGAAAATTTTTTTGGATGTCATTTCCTCATGTAAGTCATTTTTTTGGGTAGCTCAAACTCTTTCCTCTGCTTGATCTTCAACTAGATCGACCCCCTTTAATCAAAGTCATTTCAAACCTAAGGATTAATGTTAGCAAGTTAGCATTCTTATTCTGCGCGTCTCTCTGTGCACGCTCGTCCCTCCGTGAGTGTGTGTGTGTGTGTGTTTTTTTTTATAAGTAAATAAGAAATGAGGAGGCGAAAAAAAGATCAAAATTTATAGCGTGATTCGATTAGTAAATGACTTTACATTTGGATATTAGTTAAAGGGGCTTAAATCCACTTCAGTACTTGCTGATTTGCTAGTGATCATGCACCATCCATCTCAATTTTAACGAAAACTTTGATTCTTTTTCAAGGGAGTAACAGAGACTCAACAAAAACTCTTGACGGTTAGAATGGTGCTCAATAATGAATCCAAAGGAACAAGCACGAATAAAAACGCATTACCTACTAGTTGTTTCTCATATGATCTTCTTTACTCTGCTACTCTTTCATAAGTTTCAATGTTACAATGTGAATTGCAAAGCTGCACTTTGTTTAATGCATGCACTTTGGATGAGTGACTAATTCTCCACTTAGCATTTAGCGTATTATACATGCCAGTTATTTATGGAGGTCTCACTGAATATTTCATTACAAGCCTGAGATTTTTATTGCAACGGAAAACTGATTATCAAACGACAACTTGCAGGAACAAAGAAACATTTGGTCATTGTAGTGGCAACAGGTAATCAATCTTGGCCATTGCCTCTTTCAAGCTCACACTTTCTAAGCCTTCTTATTGTCTTCCAACCTAACATCTTATTTTGGTTTGCATGCACACTATTGGTGGTTTGTCAAATCTTCGTCGCCCCATATGCCTCGACTTTCATTCAAAAAGTTATCCAAACAATAAAGGAAAATTTAGCCCTCTAATTAGTAGGAATTTTGTTTAACGTGCTCTTGTTCTACATACAGCTGCTTCTGCTGGTGGTCTTGGGATTTTAGTAATTCTTGCCTACTTCTTCCAAAGGAAGCATTCATTTCTGCGCATTTGGAGTAAAAGGGAGAAGTTCCAAAATGTTGAAGACTTTCTCAAGGACTATGGATCACTGGCACCCAAAAGGTACCACTACTCTGAGGTAAAGAAGATGACTGACTCCTTCAAGATCAAGCTAGGCCAAGGCGGCTATGGGTGTGTGTACAAAGGAAAGTTGGAAGATGGAAGTCCTGTGGCAGTAAAAGTTTTGAAGGAATTGAAAGGAAGTGGAGAAGAATTTGTTAACGAGGTTGCAAGTATTAGCAGGACTTCCCACATCAACGTTGTAACTCTATTGGGCTTCTGTTTTCAGGGTCGCAAAAGAGCTCTCGTATATGAATTCATGCCTAATGGATCCCTTGAGAAATTCATTTATGGTGGAAAATCCTTGACAAACCGTCAACTGGGATGGCAAATTCTGTACAAAATTGCAGTAGGCATAGCTCGAGGACTGGAGTATTTGCATCGTGGTTGCAATACCAGAATACTCCATTTTGACATAAAGCCTCACAACATCCTCCTAGATGAAAACTTCTGTCCCAAAATCTCTGATTTTGGCCTTGCTAAACTCTGCCTTCAAAACGAGAGCATCGTCTCAATACTGGGCGCACGAGGGACAGTTGGATATATTGCTCCTGAAGTTTTTTGCAAAAACATTGGAGGGGTATCTCATAAGTCAGATGTCTATAGCTACGGGATGATGGTTTTCGAGATGGTTGGTGGGAGAAAGAACATTGATGTTGGAGTAGTAGATCATAGCAGTGAAATATACTTTCCTCATTGGATTTATGCAAGACTAGATCGAGGTGAACAAGACCTCGGACTGCATGGAATTTCCAATGAAGAGGAGAACGAACTTGCGAGGAAAATGATAATTGTAAGCTTGTGGTGCATACAAACTGATCCTGTCAACAGGCCATCAATGACTAAGGTTGTGGAGATGTTAGAAGGGAACCTCCAGGCCTTGGAAACCCCTCCCAAACCTTTCTTGTCTTCTCCAGCAAGAGCATCAGATGATTCTTCAACAATATACACGTCTGGAACAGTCTCATAATTTTTTGTAATATTAGCTTTTTCACCAAAAGATGTAGTGGACTCGTGTTTCTGCTAAAATTCCTCAGCGTAATTTTCAATCCGAAAGCAGGAGCTCCCGCTTCACGCCTCTAACGGCGAGTAAACGAAGACGCTAAGCTTCTATAGATGTAAAAGCCACGTTTTTATGATTTACTTGTTTCAGACTTCTAGAGGTGCCTGAAAACTTGATTCTTGATTTTACAAGTTTGCGCCTTCTCTATTTGGTTAAAAAAACTTGATGGTTCTTTTTCCTTATTACTGCTAATTATAGTTCATAACTATAATGGAGTCTACGGAATTCACCTGCATAAATTCTCTTGATAATTACTTGTAAGCATCGAGAAATATGAACCGACAAAAGAGAAATTATCCATTGCATCCAGGTTCTTTCCTGTGTCTTTTGCAGATTGAGAAATGGTGATTGCAAATCTGCAGTGGTCAAACAAAATTGCAGATCTCCAAGGCAGATGATATTTGCAGTCCAAAATTGACTCCAGAGGCTTCAATCTAATTTTGATATAGTTTTATGACAATTTTGCACACTAATAAAAGAACCCAGCCATGGCGATCGCCACCTTCATCATCAAACGCCCAAAATCATCCCATAATAGACTTTAGAGCTTCTGTAAACGCATTCCTAAAGCAACATCCACTACGATGAAAAATTTCTCCATCATCACTCCGCCACTCTCATAAGAACGTGCGTGCACATACACACACGCATATATATATATATATATATATTAATATACATATATATGTATTTTATTATATATTTATGACATCATTTGCTTCTTTAATATTTTTTTCATCTGAATCTAATCAATTGAACTCAATGATGTTTGTACCTTGAACACAATCGAGTGTCCAGTCCGAGTTTTAAAACACTGACTTGTATTGTACGAGCGAGTCCCTTTTTTCAAGTTGTGTGAACGAAATAATTCAAACTTGGAATGATATTCGGTTGTGAGTGTATCGAGGAGAAAATGTGATATCTAGTTTTTGTAGTAGTAGTGTACTAGTGTTACAGAACCAAGAGTTGTATTTGTTGGCAGAGTACATGATCCCCTGCAATTTTGATTATCACATGACCAAGTATATTTCGTTAATTCAAGATAATCATTTATGAGTTTGTTCCATTTTGATCATGTGAAACTTATGTTGCTAGTTACTGCAGTTAAAATTACGTGGACTATTCCACTCGCGGCCTCCAAATATTGGCGTTAGCATTAAAGGATATAGCAATCAATTAGTTTCCTAGACGCTCAGCCCAAAAAATAAAAAATAAAAAAAAATGAACTTGTTAGAAAAACAAAACTATAAAATGAGGTTTGACCATATTATATTAAAGTGCCATTTGAAAACATAAATTAGATGACAAGGATGTCCTACAACAGAGACAAAAAGAGATATGCAAGCCATCATGGGAAATTCTGTCCCATATTAAACAATCATAAACCTAATCAAACACTCCCAACTCTCTCTTTCTCCTTAGACCAAAATGATTTAGCCGTGGAACTCGAAAAAAATATATAATGCAATACACACTTCTACATCATAAACCTAATTAGCTTCTTCCTTACTTTTTGGTCTCGTGACTTTGCCTTTTTCTTTTCTTTGCCAATTTGTTCTTCGAGGCTTTATGTGGACTAATCAATCTTTTATGCTACGCTCTAGGCAAAGTGGGTCACAAATTCTAACTTTGTAGTTTGTCCCGAAATCATCATATTTATCGAAATCTGATTGCGTTGAGTCGTTTTGAGTGGATTAGTGACCGCCATGATTAAAGAACATCATCATCTAGAGCCTAGAGGAGGAGCTCCAGAAGATTGAACGAAAAAGCTTTTCAGTTTTGATTGAGAACTTCGAAAGAAGCAAAAGCCAGACGCTTTATTCTTGTCGCTGGCGATGCTTTGTAAAGGTCTCAAGGTTCTATTATTATTGCTGTAACTCCACTTTTTTTTTTTTTTTTTTTTGGGGTTTCCAATTTAGCTTTTGGAATAAAACCAGCATAGCCTATTTTCTAATCGTGTTCAAATTTACTGCATCAGTCATAATTTACAGAAAGTGGGTCCTTTCTACTATACTTACAGCCGCTCCATTTTAAGGGTTTGGTTTTTTAAGTTGCAAAATCTTGTGTAATCCTTTCGAGAAGGCCAGTGGAATGTTTCCCGACAACCATTTTATTCTATAATTAGAAAAATATATTGTGTACAATTTGGCGTAAGGTTACCAAATTGCTTTCTATAATTAGATATATAGAATAAGAAAAAGGGTAAGCTTAGGTAAAAACACATTTTTAAGGAAAGAAATTTTTATGACATATTACACCTACTCAATATATGGATGAGACGGGTGGGAACAGTTTGGGAAGAAAAGGTACAAATGATAATAAAACATAGGAAGGCACAAGTGAGAACCAGTTTCCGATGCACATTTGCTTGTATGTTTTTCGTTATTTTGACAAAAAAAAAAACCGAAAAACAAATAAAACACGTTTCATTTTCTTATTAAAAATAAAATCTTCTCATTTTGAGAACCTACAAATTTTGTGTTAACACTTAATATGAGATGGACTTCCTTGCCACGATGGTTTGATTGATTGACTTCCAAATTCCAGTAAGATAAGGTCCAAATGAAATGCCTGGCTTTGGCCTGCTAGGAAGCAGTAAATGAATTAGTAAACTGCATGTTTACTGATTTCAAAGGTGAGTTTTTGTAGTCAACGCAAAAAAAAAAAAATCAATGAAACATTAGTAATTCAGGTTTAGTAAGCACTAAGAAAACTGGGCTGCAAACGAATCGAGCCGGCTCGCGAGCGGCTTGAGTCAAGCTCCACTCGAAATCGAGCTCGAACTCGAATTCAAAATATTAAGCGAGTCTAATATTAAGCTCGTTAGACTCGCGAGTTCGAGTATATATATATATATATTTTTTTAATTTTAAATATATATATTTTTTTATTTTAAGTATATATATATTTTATTTTAATAATAAAATTACATATATATTTTATTATTTTATTATTTATTAAAAAAATATTATATTATTTATTTTTTAAAAATATAAAATAATTATTTTTAATTTTTTCAAACTCGAGTTTGAAATTATGAATTCGAGTTCGATTTTAATAAAATTGTATCGAGATCAAATCTCGACTCGACTCGTTGCACTCCGTTAGAAAACTGATGCAGAGCATGCGGTGTCGGAAAATGGCATGGAAGTACGGTAAATTATCGCAAAGGGCAAATCAAGCCTTTGGGCCATCCCATCATTTCTGCAGCTCTCCCCTGCACAGACTCACAAAGTTTGCATCGTACCGTTGCCTCTCTCATCCCATAACAACTCTTCATCATATGCCCTTAATTGTATTACAAAGCATGTGTCACCAAAATTTCTTTCGAGTTTCACGTTAAAATCTCAAATTCGGCTCAAATTTGAGTTTGATAAAATTGAATTTAGCTCAATTCAATTAAATTAAAGTTCTATTAAGCTTGTTTGTAATTTTATTTACAACAAAAAAAAGGAAGACATATTTCAGCTTTTTTCTTAATGGAGAAGTTTTTTTTAAACATAGTGACCGTTCTTGAATATAAAACTCGTGAAATTTTGGCTTAACAAAGAAGCTCGTTTAAATTCAAAATATAAAACTATGCTGTTGGACGAAAAAAGAAAAAAAAAAAAAAGGGTAATCCGTACCTATGATGTTGAAAAACAAAAAAGTCTGTTATATTCTTATGAGAAACACCCAAACTTATGTTTGTTCTTTCATTTCCTTTTTCCTATGCGCGGCAACATACCTCAACTTTAATCTTGTTAACGTTTTAATGGCCGGTTATAATTTTTTTTTTTTTTTTTTGCAAAATATGAAACCAATTTTGCTAAGCTGGTTTGGAATTTGGAGTTACTTCATGCTACATTGTAAAAAAAAAAAAAAAAAAAAAAAATTTATTTACATATTTCCCTTCTTACCATGGTAAAGTTCATTTTCCAGTAAATTTTTACAGTGTCATAAAATCCAGCAACAGACAAAGTCACACCTCACACACAGTCACACACTCCACACTCCACGCTGCCATTCTTAATGCTTTTTCAGTTTCCAGTCCTTCCATCTCCTCCTCTTCCTCCCACTCCCTCCATCCCTCCCTCGCTCATTACACCTCAACAAACCGCATTAAACGTAAATAACCACCAGCACCACCATCAGTGGCCAGCCACCCCAATACGGCCATTCCTCCTCCTCGACCATGACAAGACTAAAACCCCATGTAGCATTTTCCCTCCTTTTCCTCTTTAGCTTCTGCTTCTTTAACCTCGACGCCTTCGAAAACCCAGATTTAGCTCCGCTCTTAGCCTTCAAGTCCTCCTCAGACTACTCCAACACCCTCTCTCAATGGACCTCCAAAACCGACCCATGCACGTGGCCAGGCGTTTCTTGCCTTCACAACCGGGTCAGCCACCTCGTTCTCGAAGGCCTCAATCTCAAAAACTCCTTCGAACCCCTCACTCGCTTAACTCAGCTCCGAGTTCTCAGCCTCAAATATAACCATTTCTCCGGCCCCATTCCTAACCTCTCGAACCTCACCTCACTTAAGCTACTTTTCTTATCTCACAACCAGTTCTCCGGCGAGTTTCCGGCCTCTGTAACGTCTCTCACCCGCCTCTACCGTCTCGATCTGTCTTTCAACAACCTCTCCGGCGTTATCCCGGCCACTAAAGTGAACCATATGACCCACTTGTTAACTCTTCGTCTTGAGGTAAACGGGTTTTCGGGGCAAATATCGGGTCTCAACGTGCCTAATCTTCAAGACTTCAACGTTTCCTGCAACAAATTGTCGGGTCCGATACCATATTCGCTCTCGGGCTTCCCGGAATCAGCATTTTGGAAGAATCTTATGCTTTGTGGGGCGCCATTGCCGATTTGTTCGTCTGTAAGGAGTGACCCGACTCGACCCGGAACTTCTTCCGGAGCTATAGCATCTCCGTTGGGTCCCGGGGGAGGAAACCCTTCTACTGTAGCATCTTCTCCCACCTCAGTTCCGGAATACGGGTCGCCGACTAGAACGGGAAAAACTCGCCGTAGCGGAGGGAATAAAATGACCAAAGGGGAAATAATCGCCTTGATAATGGGCGATGTTTTGGTCCTGGCCTTAGCCTGCCTTCTATTCTACTGTTACTTCTGGAGGAAGTCGAAGAAAATGGATCAAAAAACCAGCTCAGAAGTGGAAAAGATCGTATACTCGTCAAGCCCGTAT